GAAAGAGTGAGGATAAAAATGGGTTAGCAGCGGTCGTGTTTAATACCAATGAAATCACATGTTTACCTGGGGCCCGTGAGGTTTGGGGGCCCCCTGCTGGCTACAATCAGTCACTACAGGGGAGTCAGAGAGAAAGTCAGAGGAGGAGAGGAAGGCTACAGGTGACACAGGACCAGCTGAGAGACATAAAGCTCTTAGAGAAGAAGGAGGTGCCACACAAGCAGCCTGCGGAGCAGCACAGAGCCTCAGCCAGACATGTTTACTACTACAGACGCTGACCTGCATCTCAGCTCAGATACACTGTGGCGTTTACTTACCAGAGACCGACCAGCCCGACCTGAACGGGTGCGTTGAGCACGGGGTACCGCTGCAAGCAACAAACAAGGAGAGCGCTGCTGAAAAAGCTGTACTCCACCAATGCAGTGACACTGGCTCACTGGCAGACAGTCTTTCACCAGTATGCTGCTAAGGAAGGGGGCGATAGGGTTCTTGGTTGTTCCAGAACACTGGCGACGGAACCGGGCGTACCTTCATGAAGGCCTTCCTTTCCAGCACGTTCATGATGATTGGAGGGATTGCTTAAATGGGATAAAGGGACAGCGGTTAGTGGGACAACCGATGACTCTCACTGGCAGACGCTACTGTCCGTCAAACAGCCCCCACTGTTACTAGCCATAACAAGAGTACCCACAACACATTCAAAGATTAAGGTTTCTGTCTGTTTGTTAAATTATACAAACCAAAGAAGGTAATTCATAGCATCTTATCTGCTAGAATATATACAGTGTCTTTTAGTTGCTGATCGTCAATCATTCCTGTCCTCCCAGTGAATTTTAGACAGAGTTGGGTAATTCAGACCCAGAGAGTAAAAGTCCAGACCAAGATTGTGTTTCAACCAACCAGGTGAACATAAAGAGTCACAGTCACAGAGTACTCAACTGGTTGGTTGAAACAAAATCCCCGTCTGGAATTTTACTCTCCGGACCTGAATTATCCAACTCTGTATTCAGACCTGTGTTACTGTGGACCTAGAGGCAGTTGTATTGCATTTCAGGTGGACAGTGAAGCTAAATGTCAGCACATCATGTGGGGGCCCATGTCTTACCCATGGCTGGCATGGCCATGCCGATCCGGGACACCACAACCTGGACAATGGCCTGTCTGGCGGCCTGGGTGGACTGTCCCAGTCGGTGGCCATCCTCATCCATCACAGGGATCCCATATTTTAGTTCCCTGTGGGGGTGGGAGGGGGGGACATACACAATTGTTGTAAAAGGGTTCTGGAAAACATCTTTAATCCAGACTGAAGTAACATATCTGTGCAATGACCTCCAGTCCAGCAGAGGGCGACCTTCTATCAACGCTTCAAATGCCCTACCCTGCGCCCCTCCCTGCCCTTCCTCTTTCAGCCAGTCCAGCAGAGGGCATCCATCTGTCATAGACTGATACGCTCGATGACATTCCAGTCTCAGCCAGCTGCCGCCCCCAACGTTCCTCACCTCTGCCTCATGAACGGGATGTTGATGCAGTTGGCAGCGGCCACCGCAGCGAAGGGAATGAAACGGGCCGCTATGGGTGGGAGGTGCTGGGAAGGAAAACACACACAAGTCTCATTCATTCATTCATTACGTCACAACGGTGGACAGAATAAGTCACAGAAAGAAAACGTTACTGAAGGAGAATTCACAGATCACACGCCTCGTCCATTTCCCTGCGTTATCATCTATCTGAGCACTTATTTAATTAGCCCGCTGGTTTCATCTAAATGAATCGATGTGGCCTGTTCATCCAGCTGGATATTTTATCTGAGTAATTTAAGTTAAATATCTTGCCTGGGGAACAGAGCCCCTCCTGGGACTTTAACAGCTAACATGGCTTGTAAGCAGGATTACTGTCCCAAGGGTTTAACCTCAGCCACTGACCCATAATGCCATCTGGGTCGTCTGTGATGTGGGGCTTCAGGAGACCCGTGCCGTTACCTTGGCGAGGGACTTGAGGCTCAGGGCAGTGACCACGGCACCAGAGGTGGCACAGACGTAGGCAGCACCCAGCTGGCTGCAACGCACACACACAGATACACACACAGATTAGACAGCTGTATCTTTGTGGGGACTCTCCATTCATTTCTATGGCCACTACCCTAATCCCAATAACAACAACCTGAACCCCTACCCAGCCCTAACCTTTATCATAAGTAACCAAAGAAAATACAAGACTTTTGGAATTTTTAGTTTTTTGATTGACTTTCAAAGAGTTTCACCTTGTGGGGAAAATAATAGGTTTTACATAACCCACACACACAGACACACACACACACACACACACACACACACAGAGACACACACAGACACACACACACACACACAATCATTCTCTGTCTGCTGATCACATCGGCCTCCATCACAAGCCAAGGACACGTCAGAATTATCCACCATCTTTCCTGTTCGACTTCAAAGCAACCAGAGAGCTGGAGAGATGGGCAATATCACAGCATATACAAGCGGCATCCAGCACCAGTTTCCATGACAACATTCTACACCATGTGGAACGCCACGTGAAATGTGGTGTCAGAGTTTCACCTATAAGGGGTAAACGCACCAAAACTGTCCTGGACCCATCAGCCCAGTTTAAATACGCCTTAACCAACATTCATTTATGTCCATTGTAGTGGACATTTTGTTTTTGCATCTATCTTTTCACTGATGTAAGGAAACGTATTTATTCTTGTTGTACACTAAAGAGGACATGCTGTGAAATTAAAAATTAAAATAAATTTGAAAAAATCTAAATTGTAAGATGTCTTATTTCCTCCAAAGACAAATAACCTAAAATTGAAGGACACTTTTTTCCTTGGGTCTCAGGAGGATATCAGCCAGATGTAGAGTCTGGTCCAGGACACATGCTGCAGTTTCCACAAGAGACTGACCACCTGAATACCCAGGAAGCCTTTTAGAAGACCATGAAAGCTCTGCAGAGATACGGGGCTGGGTTAAGACCAGTGACACTGGAGATGTGAGACTCGAGTTAATGAGGGAGCTAGAGAGCGGCATTTTAATTACAGACAATGTAGAAAGAGATTGAAAGCCTGTCAGTGTAGTAAGTTAATGGCCACATCCTGCGAAGGAACATCCACAATTACTCACAAGCCGACAGCACTGGCTAAGATAAGGCCAAACTCTCAGCACACGGAGCTGCCACCTACTTCACGGTGATGGGTGCATCCCCACTGCGGTTGGTGTAGTTCACCACGGCATTGAAGGACTGGTTGACCCACTGCCAGAAAATCACAGCTGGGGTGGTCCTGCAGGATGGAGGGGAGGAGATTTACACTAGGAGATCCTCCTCCATGCCACACGAGGCTCTGGCCAGTGACACGCGCCCGTGACAATGCTGAAAATCTCAAGCCCTTACCTGTAGAAGGTTAGCATGCTGCCGGTGATGATCATGTTCATAGGCACCTGTGCCGACATGCGGCCGATCAGCACCATCTTCTCGCCCGTGTCCGGGTGGAAGGCAGAGTCGTAGATGTACTTGGCCCTCCAGAGCTCGTCCTCCGACAGCCCCGGCTTTACGATCCCCTTTCTGGTGCCACGCAAACAGCAGAGGGCTCACTGCTTAGGGAGCTGCTGTTACGTTCAAACAGGCTGACTAACAGGTCGCTCACACACGCATGCGACTTACGGCTGATGAAGGCGCTTGATCAGGGGTGGGCGATATTATGCAGAAAAAGCCACTGTGTAGACGGGTCTTCGCTGCAACTCCCTAATTAGATTACTAATTAGAGGACTGATTAGCTGAAGAGTCCTCACACCTGGGTTTGAACAGCTGACCTAAGGATTACCCCTAAAACCTGCACACACACTGGCCCTTTGTGGATAAGATTGCCCACCCTTACACTGGATTAAAATGGCTGAAAAAAACAGGAAGGTGACTAAGCTTGCAAAAATGCCCTGAAAGTCACCGAAGAAACTTTCCAAGGGGAAAAGCCACACAATGCAGAACATGCCCGCTTTTCTAACCAAACCTCAGCACTTCTGTACTCCTGGAGGTCTGCTGATGTCCAAATGACAACTCATTGTCTGACCCTAAACTCACCTGTAGTCCTCCACAATGACACGTGCGTCCTCCAGGGTCCGGTTCGACAGAAGGACGTTCCTGGGGTCGGTGACCATGAAGAAGTGCTTGGCACGGCCCGCGAAGGTGCCCTGGTCCCATCGCGGCTCGGCGATATTGATGCTGGGTGATAGCCCTCCTGACATCCTTGCAGCTGAGCTCCCCCTGCTGGGGACACCAGGCATTGGTGACCCTTTGAAAAATCCTCTCTCCAATGTGACAGACATTGCTACGGTTCAGGCTATTTTTGACAGTGGTGGCATTTATCACCACGCAAATCGCGCATTTGCACACATCGTGGGGGTTAGGGACGCAAGCCCTCTCGATCTGGAAAAAGCAGCATAAAAATTTTTGGTCCCCTTGGCAAGCAAAGCAAAAAGATACAAGAAACCTGAGATAGAAAGATCACCGCGAGATATCAGATGAAAGGCTGCCGTACGTACGTGTGACATGCTCCAAACCAGCATTGTACGTATATTTCTTGCATTTATATGTTACTAAACTTTCTGTTTCTCGTCTGCTGGCCTTCACGTGCGGTTTGCGGCTTTCGCATAACTCCCAGACTCCCAAAAACATCCCCATTTAATATCCTTTGCACAAACCGCGATGGGGATGCGGAATGGTGCTCTGTGTCTCTTTATTTAATTGAGAGGGCACTCTTTTGTGAGTGCAGTCCCAGCAACAATCCTGCTCCCTGGTTATCCCCTGAGTGACCTGCTTAGTGAGTGTAACATTAGACGGGCATCTAAGTGCACAATCTCTCAGTGCCTGCCTGGCTCCAGTCACATGATTCACCTCCCGGCAAGAGCCGTGTCAGGGGAAGGCGACCCCAGGCACCTGAGTGCTTTTGCGATGATGAAAGTCATTTATCTTCATAGGCATGACATGAAACAATCGGTCAGCCAGTACAAAACAAGAAAAAATTGAATTCCTTGGATCCATTAAATACTTAGCATAGTAACGTCAGCTGTCGGCATTTCATGTTCTCTTCCACTAGAGATAAGCAGGAGCAGTTCAGGGTTGGCAGAATATCAAAGCGTACAAAGCGTTCACGCTCTGCAGAGCCACACCTGGGTGTTTCACTGAGGATGCTTTACGCAGGAGCCCATAGAGTTACCCAGGGAGGGCCGGCCGGAAGGGGGCAGACCCTAGGCTGTCAGGGGCCCTGTCTTCGTGGGGCCCTCTATCCACCACGCCACAATGACAGCTTTTTTTGTTATTGAAGTCGCTGCATTTTAAATCGCTAAGTGTGAATCAGCGTGCGCTGTGGGATCAATTTTGTGTTTATCAGCTGAAATGCAGGATGCTTGGAGGATCAGAGAAATTTAAATGTAGGAAAAAGATAAAGCTCTTAGTCAGGACAGCTTAATATCCTGGATTTAAAAATCATTTCATAACTGCCCTACATGATTTGTGCCATATGCAAATTACTTTCACAAAAGGAAGGGACGGAGACACAGAACCAGTCAGATCACCCTAAAACCGGATCAAAATATCCAGCACTGGCTCGAGACGGCACGGGCATCGACCGAAAAAATGCAACTGCACAATGCGGCGCGCGCGGTATGTGCATGCGTGCGTGTGCGCGCGCGCGCGAGCAAAATAGTTTAACGTCCTTTTTTGAGCGATAGCCAGTGGGTGTTAATAATAATAATAATAATAATAAACGACGAATTATCTTAAACGCCATACAGAAGCAGCGCAATCTGGCATTCGGTGATAATAAACCCTGATCAAGAAAATCTACTATAAAGTTCCCTAGTAAATTTAAGCATTATCATTATTTTAGTCGATGTGTAAAATACAGGCTACTAAGGTGAATTCTGTCTATTAAGAAGTACAGGCCTAGTGCAGCGGCTACTAAAGCGGAGCAAGCAAGTTACAAAGTGTCCGATGTTTTCACAATAATAACAATAATGTTATGAGGTCAATAACAATTATTTAGATTTTTTATTAAAATATTTGCGCAGCCATCATTAAACATTTTTCGCACAGTAGGCTTCTATGTTTGCCAGACAGTCGTTTTTTTCTGAAGTAACAGAAAGTGAAACTACTCGTTATCTGCTGCCTGGACGTGTAAAAACATTGAATTGGCTAGTAATAAATTAACTAGCGAAGTGACATTAATATACCACAGTAAAGTCGGTAATTGGGCGCTACTTATAGGAAACTAATGTTCTAAAAATGAAGAGTTAAATGTAGGGAATGTTCGGAACCCAGTCGATCAATGACGTTTTATCACATAAAACGCCAGAAAAGTGGAATTTTAACGTGTAGTAGCCAACTTTTCCGGTGAAAATGGGGAAGAAAATATTTTAAGCTTTTACACATAAGTTAAGATGGCTAACAACAGTAAAAATAATACATACAGGAAGGTCGCTTTTAAATAGCTCTTTTGGACAGAACAAACTGCTGTCTCGTCGTTTTAGAAAGTAGTAACCTAAGAAACTTTGTATTAGCAGAAGAAAAAGGCGCCCGAGCCGTTTTGTCTGACCCATGGGGGTTAGTCAGGCTGGGTTAAACTAGCAGGAGCGGTCAGTAACATAAATGGCCAAGCAGAGGACCTACCTTTGCTTATGAGGGTGGACGGTGTCAAAGGCTCCGAATCCCTAAGCGGGTCCGTGTGCCTCCGCGGTGCTTGAAAGCCGCCGAATGCCCAGCAAAGACAACGACGGATGACAACCGGGGCAGGCGGGCTGTCACCTGATAGCGCCCGGGGGGAAGGCGGCGCCGCCCGCGGCGACACACCGACCGCAGGCACGGCAAGCGCCGCTGCCCCCGCCTGCCCGGTATTTAGCTAATTTCTCCAGTTAAGTGCGATAGAATATGCCAGTAAAAAGTTTTTAATATATATCGGCACGCTGTGCCTTTAAACGCTTATGTGCGCTCCCCCTTTTGGCAGAGCGAGCGGTCAAAATGAGTCATGGGCTCCCGTCTGCTGAACACGAAGAAAGGACACGATCTCCAAGTGGATAAATACCGAACTGCACAAGACCAGATGGAAACATTGAGAAAATGTTGATTTAGAACCTATGCACTTACACCCAGGGTAGCTAGAAATGTTGGGCCCATGACAGATGGCAGCTTGAACTCCTGCCCGCCCAATTTTACATAGAATTTTACGTATTTAGTGTCAAACTGGGCCCCTTAACTCTGCCGGGGTGTACGTGCCCCTGTGGGGCTCCAGCTCACATCACTTAATATGTTGCACTGCTTAGATTGACATATCACCATATCACCAACAAAACAATACATCATTGACCATTAAAATTGCAACCTTCGGGAAGCGTAAAAAATAATCCCTATAAACATCCTTTGATTCTGGAAATTGTACCTGGCAGTTCCCCCACGCGCTGTTGCCCCCTATCGGTGGTTTTTTAATCAGCCAATCAGTTGGCCGGAGGAGGCGGACGTTTCGGAAGCAAAGGAGCGCTTCAGTATCGCAGGAGGTAACGGAGCGTAACATGGAGATCAGGTAAAGTTTTCAGCAGGCAGCGCGACATCTTTGTACAATACAAAAACTATTTTCTTATTTACTTACTAATAGGCTACTTATTTTACTATTTAATGGTCGTAAGGCAGGGTACTTACCTTAGATTAGCATTGCATTGCAAATTTGCCTTAGTACTCCATGACAATGTTTATACTTAAAAACTTATACCGAAACTCCGAGGTATTGGGGTCCAATTCTAACTTAAAAAATAGTTGCTGCTGACGTAAAATATGTGATGTGTTTGTAGCTTTATAAACCCGTTTTGAGGGTTTTACTAGTTAGCCAAGTGCAACCGTTTCACTAGTTCACGAGTTGCAGATTAATATTTTAATTAGGTTGTTATTATACTGTTTTATTTTTGAAGATTAACCTGCCACTCCTGCTTGCGCTGTCCGCGGTGCTGCCCTAGCAAGGGTAAGCACAGGCAAAGCAGAATGGAAGGTTTTGTAAAGAGACATTCAGTGCATTTATAACCTACAGAATCCAAATTTAATGCTAACAGTCCGTAGATGTCCAGCCGGTCTCAAATAAACACTGAAAGTGTTGAATTTTAGCTGCGGACTGAAAACGTCTCATTTTCTCACCTGACGATGCCTTTCAGTCCTGGGTGCAGGTTCGTGGTGACGTTCTTCACAATGAAACCGGGCGTTATTGCGAGCTGACAGAAGGAGCAGCTGGAAGCTGGACCTCAGAGCGCCCTAGGAGCTACTGGGCGTCTTCAGGCCGGACTTACGGGATACCTGCGGATTTTTGTATGCCTGGTTTAAAAAAAAAAAGATTTCCTGGTACCATCCCCCCATTCCTGGATTCCCGTTTGGCATCCAATCACGGAGGGTGCGAACCCTGTTTCTGCATTTCTGATGGATAAATAAGGGCGGTGAAACAGCCTCGAGCTCCACATGGTACGTTCTCTGTGCTTCTGACTGTGGGCTGGGGGCAACCTCCTGCTGTGTCGCATGCCGCTGACCACCCCCCCCCCCCCACCCACCCCCGCTGCCGCTTCTGACGCCTACCTCTGCACCCCCTGGCGTGCCTGTCCGCCCCCCGGTCCATCGGGATGAGAGGCCACGAGCCGAGCCCAAGCCCCCGGCCCGTCTGGCAGATCGGCGGGTCGCGGATCACCTTCTGCCATGAGCAGGATGATGACTGGCGCAGGGGGGTCGCAGACCGGTCGCCCTCCCCCGTGGGCCGGACCACGCTCATCCGCGCCCCTGTGGAGGGTAAGTCCCTGGATCTTCACATGGCCCAGTAAGTCACCTGCAGTGTACTGGGCTGCCATTGGTGCTAGACAAGCTATAGCTTTATTATTATTACTGGAGAGGGACCCATTATATAAACAGCCCTAAGAAAGCGCGTCAGAACACAGTGTCCTGTGACAGGCTGAGCTGGGTGTGTGAATTTTACACTGACAGTGATGAAAATGAATCCTACAGACTTTAACACTCTCAGGGTTAAATTAGCACCACCGAGTTAGACAGAGTTTGAACCTTCACCCTCGCGCTGGTTTTCTCATTTTATTATTTACTACCTTATGATTTTGCTGCATGCTGTGTCATTTCCTATCTTTAAATGCTATTTAAAAATGCACTGTGGGAAAACGAAGACCATGTGTCTCTCCATCGGTCAACAGGGGGCGACAGTGCTGAGGTCACCCGCACGATTACGGTGGAGAGGAGCGCCGTGGGCAAGCTGGGCTTCAGCGTCCGTGGGGGGGCTGAGCACGGCCTGGGCGTCTTCGTCAGTAAGGTGGAGGGTGGCAGCTCTGCGGGTCAGTCCCCTGGGCCCAGCAGGGCGGCGCCAAGTCTCCACCTCATCTGAATGTGCGCAGTGCCAGCATCTGGACCCCATCTGGTCCGAGCTGTAGATACTCTGCCCTTTTCAGTGTCGCAGGGAGGGGCAGAACAAGCCTAGGCGCTTTTCCACCAAAAGACATTAGCCATATCAGAATATTAGCATGTTCGGCCTATTAACAACTCTGACAATGTTGTGTATTTAACAATCACCCCCTGACACTCCCCTTTAACAGTAGCCTTGATGCTCCTTATGTTTTATTATCTTCATTGAATACTGGACTGACCTTATTTATTTGGCCACATGGCCAACACTCCCTGACACTCCCCTTTAGTAGTAACCATAGTGGTCGTTATTTTTTTATAGTTTTTATTAAAGCCTGGTCTGACACTATTTATACAGCCACATGGCCAACATTCCCTGACACTCCCCTTTAATTGTAGCCTTGTTGCTCTTTATTTTTTAGTATCTTCATTATAACCTGGTCTGACCTTATTTGTACAGCCATGTGGTCTGAGTGTGTGACTTTCTCTGTGTCCCAGCGTGTCTCTCTGTGTGACTTTCTCTGTGTCCCAGCGTGTCTCTCTGTGTGNTGTGTGACTTTCTCTGTGTCCCAGCGTGTCTCTCTGTGTGACTTTCTCTGTGTCCCAGCGTGTCTCTCTGTGTGTCTTTCTCTGTGTCTTACTGTGTCTCCATACGACCTTCTCCATGTCCCACTGTGTCTCTATGTGTCTCCATCCTGTCTCCCGTGTGTCTGCAGCCAGGGCGGGGCTCTGTGTGGGTGACCAGCTGGTGGAGGTGAACGCCGTCGGTCTGGAGGGCGTCACCATGAGCAGTGCTGTCAAGGTCCTGACGGGCAACAGCCGACTGCGTATGACTGTGCGCCGCGTGGGCAAGCTCCCCGGGCTCCGCTACACTCAGGAGAAGACCACCTGGTAGGTATAGCGCGCCCTGTTGGCAATGATGTTCACAATAACTCCTCAAGCCCATCTCCTTAATGTGGACCCAGCATCTCCTTGCAGTGTGCTAATGAGGGATTAACAGCCCCGTCCAATGCAGCCATCCCCCAGAGAACTGTATCAATGTCCTCTTCATATAGCTGTCAGACATATGTCATTTTAACAGAGTGCAGGGGCCTTTACCAATGGTCTGTGCAGTCCTGTTAAGAGAAGACCTGTTCTGGGTTTTTTTTTTCTTTGCATTCATGGGGGACTTTTCTAAACGGCTCCCTGACCCGTTAAGTCCTGGGTTTTGTGCTGACTTAAACTCTCTGCCATCTGTCCCCGCCCCAACCCCCCCCCCCCCGGCAGGGTGGACCTCACGCACCGGCGCATGCTGGTGGAGGAGAGTGGCCGGACGCCCTCCCTGAGTGGGCCGGACGGGGCGCTGAGGAGGGTCGTGCACCTTTACACCTCCCCCAGGAACCATTGCCTGGGCTTCAACATCCGGGGGGGACGCGAGTTCGGCCTGGGCATCTACATCTCCAAGTGCGGGCCGCCATCTTAAGTTAACGTCCATAATCGGAAGGAAAGCTGTGACCCCCACGGCCCGGGCTCAGCGCGTGATGCTGCCTTTCAGCTGACGGGCGTCTCTGACGCTGTGCCTGTAACTGGGAGGTCAGACCCTGCTGCTGGCAGAGTGATGTCACTGTCACAGAGTGATGTCACTGTCACAGAGTGATGTCACTGTTAGAGCCCTGAGCAGGACCCTTCACAGACTGTGTCACTCTGCTTTCTCACTTTGGATAAGAGTGTCCTCTAAATACAGTACCAGTCTAAAGTCTGGACACACCTGCTGCTAATATATTTTTTGCTCTGATGTTCACCTTATAATGAAAGGTCTCAAAGTTTTACTTATCTAAAGGCAATGAAGTTTTACTTATCAAATATTGCAATGACTAAGAGACGTGTTTCACGTCTGAAAATTTCCTCAAATTTTACCCTCTCCGAAAAAGCCGCCTTTAGATTCTATGACAGCGTTGCAGACTCTTGGCGTTCTTCTAGCCAGCTGCACCTGCAATACTTCTCTAACAGTCCTGAAAGAGTTTCCACAAGTTCTGGGCAACAGTTGGTTCTCTTGCTCTTACTCTTGGATCCAAACCATCCCAAAGCAGCTCAATAGGGTTCACGTTGGGGGGGGATTGTGGGGGCCGGGTCTCTGTCACAGCACTCCATCTCTTCCTTTGTTCACAAGATAATACAGTGCATGCATAACCTCAAGTGCTTAAGGTCTTTATCTGGTTGAAAACAAATGATCTTGAGCAGGTTGAGACATTTGACTGGTACCTTAAATGTTAATGCTTAGTGGTGCCGTGGGGTTCTGCTGGAAATGGAGAGCGGGCTGTTCCCAGTCCCCGGCCTCACTGCGGCCTCACTGCGGCCTCACTGCGGCCTCACTGCGGCCTCACTGCGGCCTCACTGCGGCCTCACTGCGCTCACACTATAACTGTTTAATTGAAGTGATTATATGAGGAAAATTCCCCAATGTTTAAGGTGTGAATCAGGTGCTGGTTGAACTTTTGGCCGCATGTGTCCCCAGTCTGGACCCGGGGGGGCTGGCGGAGCAGAGCGGCATCAAGATGGGAGACCAGATTCTCGTGGCCAACGGGGTGAACTTCGAGGACATCAGCCACGCCGACGCCGTGGACACCCTGCGGAGCAATGCCCACGTTATGCTGACCATCAAGGTGGGGGGTCTGGAGCTGCAGTGGGGGGGGGGGGCGGAGAAATAAAGAGATAAACCTGCTTTGTAGTTCTGGCAAAAACAGCAAAAGAAGCAGGAGGCTTCATGGTAACAGCTGATTGGCGGCGGGATGTCGGGGCGACCTTGTGCAGTCTGGGGCGACCTTGTGCAGTCCGGGACGACCTTGTGCAGTCCGGGGCGACCTTGTGCAGTCCGGGAAGACCTTGTGCAGTCCGGGGCGACCTTGTGCAGTCCGGGGCGACCTTGTGCAGTCCGGGGCGACTGTGAGTTCCCCAGTTCCCAGCATGCTCCGTCGCTCGCCTTACAGACCAAAGCTTGGGTTTCGCCTGGGAAAAAAGGCAGCGGGATCGTGTGCATAATTCACCAGGCCCCGGGGATTGGGTTCTGATAAGACGGCCCTGTTTTTAAGAGCGTCATCTCGATCCTAAGAAAAACAACACCTCCGGTACCCCGTTGGCATCGCAGGTCTCCATGTTCTGTTTGCTCTCTGTTGTTCTTTTTCGATTCACTTCTATTCAGGTTATTTTGTATTGCTCATTTTCACAATATTACATCGTCTCAAAGTGCTTTACAGAATTGCCACCCAGAGCCTCCAGTGAGCAAGCCAGAGGCGACAGTGGCAAGGAAAACCTCCCTAGAAGGAATAATACTTGGGAGGAACCAGACTCAAAGGGTCAAAGTCCATCCTCCAGGGGGCAGCAAAGGAAGCCAAAGTCAAATGAGCAGGATGGGAAAAGTCTCAATTCACATTATCCAGATTTGAAGATTTTCAATGTGGGGGACAGGCAGGTGATGGCAGGCAGACACCACAGGCAGAAGGGTAGGCAGGATGTCTTAATATGTTGGGGTCTCCAGGCAGCACAGCCCAGGAGGGGTAGGGGGAAAAATGTGCAATTGGCCAAAGTAGGGGAGACTAGAGGCAGTGCAAACAGTTAGGTGAGTGCAGTATGTAAGGCTATGGCAGTGTAAGTATGAGGGAGAGGCAGGTGGGAACACAGGCATGGGGGGTCCATGAGCGTCAGCACTCCAATTCCACAAGGGGGTGTGAAGCTAGAGACCCTGCATTTTCACCGACGCTCTGTTGAGGAACATGTCCAGCTCATGCCTAAAATGCTCTCCGTGTCTCTGTCTCCTCATGCCAGGAGGCCGGCAGATACCCTGCTTATAAGGAGGTCCTGGCCGAGTACAGCTGGCTTGATAACCGTATGTGTCAGAGTGCTCTCTCCCTGTCTCTCTCTCTCCCTGTCTCTCTCTCTCCCTGGCTCTCTCTCTCCCTGGCTCTCTCTCTCCCTGTCTCTCTTTCTCCCTGGCTCTCTCTCTCCCTGTCTCTCTCTCTCCCTGTCTCTCTCTCTCTCCCTGTCTCTCTCCCTGTCTCTCTTTCTCCCTGGCTCTCTCTCTCCCTGGCTCTCCCTCCTCCTCCCTCTCTCCCTGTCTCTCTCTCTCCCTGTCTCTCTCTCTCCCTGGCTCTCTCTCCCTGTCTCTCCCTCCTCCTCCCTCTCTCTCTGTCTCTCTCTCTCCCTTCTGTCTTTTTCTCTCTCACTCTGTCTCTTTCTCTCTCACTGTCTCACTGTCTCTTCCTCTCTCTCTGGCTCTCTTCCTCACTGTCTGTCTCTCTCTCTCTCTCACCTCACATGCCTCTGAGACTNCTGTCTCTCTTTCTCCCTGGCTCTCTCTCTCCCTGTCTCTCTCTCTCCCTGTCTCTCCCTGTCTCTCTTTCTCCCTGGCTCTCTCTCTCCCTGTCTCTCTCTCTCCCTGTCTCTGTCTCTCCCTGTCTCTCTTTCTCCCTGTCTCTCTTTCTCCCTGGCTCTCTCTCTCCCTGGCTCTCCCTCCTCCTCCCTCTCTCCCTGTCTCTCTCTCTCCTTGTCTCTCTCTCTCCCTGGCTCTCTCTCCCTGTCTCTCCCTCTTCCTCCCTCTCTCTCTGTCTCTCTCTCTCCCTTCTGTCTTTTTCTCTCTCACTCTGTCTCTTTCTCTCTCGCTGTCTCTTCCACTGTCTCATTCTCTTCCTCTCTCTGTCTGTCTGTCTCTCTCTCACTGTCTCACTGTCTCTTCCTCTCTCTCTGGCTCTCTTCCTCACTGTCTGTCTCTCTCTCTCTCTCACCTCACATGCCTCTGAGACTTTACACCATCTCCTCTTTGTTTTGCTTTTGTTCAACGTCCTTGAACCTAAACTGTTTGATAAATGGGATGGTGATTCATGCGTGTGTGTGTGTGTGTCTGCATGTGTGTCTGCGTGTGTGTCTGCGTGTGTGTGTGTATTCCCTCCCTCAGGGGGGTCTCCTTCCTACCGCGGTTCAGACTCCAGTTCCTCGGTGTCATCGTTGTCCTCCATGACCCCCTTCAGTTCCCTCGGTGACCCCCCCCAAGCCCGGTCACCCTCTCCCACCCCCACTCTATGGAGTGCCCCCCCTGAGAAAACTGAGGCCTCGGTACAGACTGACCCCGCTGAGCTCCACGTGTCACCAAGGCTGGGCGTCCCCCTCCCTGGCGAGACCAGCAGGCGCCTGGGGGCCACAGTACTGCTGGGGGACACCGCCATCCGGGCCGGGGGCCCTGGGGGCCTGAGTGCGGCTCTGTGCCGCTGCCGGACCTCCTCTGTGGGGCCCTCGGCAGGTGGGGCAGCCAGCTCCCCGAAAACCAACATGCTCGTGGCCCTCAGTCGGCCCAGCAAACCCCTGCGTCGCTCCCAGAGCCACGTCACTGAAGCAGGTGAGGAGTGTGGCGGCGGGGGGCATGGAGGTGCCGGAATGTTCCATCCCATGCTGAGGACCCCCTCTATCCTCGTCCACAGAGGACAGGCACAAGAGGAAGCAGGAGCAGCGGCCGAGCGGGCGGCTCCAGGGGGACGGAGAGGGGCTGCGACGCTCCAAGACCTTTATGGGTCTCCTCTCAAAGGGCGTGCGCAAGAGGGAGGCCACCAGGGGGCGCTCCAGCTCTCCGTCCAGCTCAGAGGTGGAGCGGGGTAAGAGGGGGGTCAGGGCCAGATGTGTGAGTGCTCAGCGAGGGCTGTTTAAGTGCGGGGTGACGGCTAGGTGCAGGTTTGCACCTCCCGGAGAGGGCGTGAGCGCCGAGTCAGCGCAGGACAATGCGCCGAGTCAGCGCAGGACAATCCAACCATTTCAGGCGTGTAATTATGGTTCTTTGGCTGTCAACCAGATAAGACGTCCAGACACAGATGGCTGAAGAATGGTGAATAAGTGTCTGAGTGTTTCTGTGTGTGTGTGTTTCTGCATGTTCCTACACTTGTATTTGCTTCTGCAGGTTCCTGCGTGTGTGTGTGTGTGTGTGTGTGTGTGTGTGTACTGCTGTGTGTTGCTGTGCGTGTGTGTGTATGTGTGTGTGTGTGTACTGCTGTGTGTTGCTGTGCGAGTGTGACCCCTCAGTCTCACAGTCAGTACTACACAGTCACATTCCCAGTATAGTGTCATATATAACTGCCTTCCCAACGCCGACCGCTGCATCGTGACTCCCTAGATAAGCAGCACAGACGCAGCCCGCTGCCCAGTGCAGACGTCCTGCAGATGGTGCAGACCATGGCCCAGAGGCTTCTGGGAGAGGACGAGGTGGCTGCAGTCATGAGGCACTGCAGGCGGGTGAGGAATCATTTAAAAGTAGTTATGCTTAAACGAACCAATTCGCTGAAATACTTGACAGTGTGTCCATGCTGGTCTGGTGATATAGCCCAGTGGCCTTGCTGTCACATACTTAGGTGACAAGCGGTGTCCAGGGATTAGGGCCCTGATGAGTGTGTAAGCCTGTCAGCCGGATAATGCGAGACGGGCATGTGCAGTGTGTGTGTTTGTCAGCATGTTTACGCTGCAGCATGCCAGTTCAGCATGGATAACAGGAGATTAGCCCTGGTGAGGGGACGTTCCAGCTGATTTGGTGGGGGATCCGCGGCGTTGTTAACCTTAACCTGACACCTCAGGCGGGTTTGCCGTGCAGTGACCCTGAGGGACCCTGCGATTCTGTGCCAGGAAGCTGTGTGGGTAGAACAATGTGTGATTAAATTACATACGACATACCATCAGTCGGGAGAGACCATGCAAGAAATGGACAACAAAGATGGAGAAACATTAGATGCTAAAGATGTTGCTCTCTTTGCCTCTGCTTTGTGTTTTGACTGCTTTCCTTTATATTATTTTTCTTTTCTTCTTCTTCTTCTTCGCTCCTGGTGGCTCCACAGTTTGCAGCAGAGCGTGTGCTGGAGGACCTTGTACGCCCCCTGCTGGTGCTGCTGGACCGGCCAGAGAAGGTCCTCTTGCTGCGGGAGATCAGGTGGGGGTGGACCGTGGAAGTGGGGTAAATTTGAGGCAAACATCACACGAGGGAGTGAGTGAAATCGAGTTTCCGGTGACAGGCTCCCTTTACCTACATTGGATTTTTTCATAATCAAATTCAAATGCACATAACTTTATTGACATGACTACGTAATTAACATAATGCTGGTAGGATTTTTTCCCCATACTTCTTCACTCCCTCCTCTTCCTCAGTTTTCCTTTCTACCTTCTTATCTGACCCTCCATCTTCTGAGAATAGACGAATGTTTCCGCTTCACACCCGCGGCCATTTGTCGGCCCCTCGCGACTCCGATAATGGTGGCTGCGGTGGGCTAAGCTAAGCTAGCATGCCTTGGGACTGGTAGCGATAAGAAGGTGACCCGTTAACTTTTAGTGACTGACAGCGTGGTCTGGCCCTCTGCTCTCACACCCCCACGCTTCCAGAATGCTCATCCCCCCCACCGACCTGGAACGCTTCGACAGTGCAGTGGGGCCGGTCGAGGAGGAGGCCTACGGGCTGCTGAGGAGCCGCGCGGGTGAGCAGCGATGCTGGGGGGGGGGCGGCACGCGGCCTCTGCCTGAGCGCTGCATGCGATATTAGCCGATTAATCATGGAGCCCCCCCCAGGCAGCACAGGAAGTTTGCCAAGCCTTCTTGGTTATATTTGGGTTCTAAGGTTAGATTTGAGGTAGCAGGTACAAGCTTGTCCCATTTCCAGTGTGCGTGTTGGGGGTTTTGGTGGGGGGAGGGGGGAGTTAGTGGAATTCATTCCTTGATCCACCGCTTCTGTCTCACAGCTAGGTCCCCCGCCCTTCGATCTCCAAGGACGGGACCAGCTCCGAGAAAGCAGCTCATCACCCCTATCCCAGGTCAGGGGGTTGACATGTGAATCAGGGATTTGACTACCTGAGGGCGGCACAGGAGACCTGTGTGAACACAGCACTGCAGTTGTCGTGTGGAATTTTGCATGAAATTTGTCCTGTGATCAGCTGCTCCTTTGTGACATCATATAATGCTCATGTGACATCATATAATGCTCCTGTGACATCATATAATGCTCCTGTGACATTGCGGGCGTCCTCACTTGCTGCTGATCTGCTATCTCTCCATGTGTGGCGGCCACCTGATGCTGTCGCCCTGAGGTCTCCCTCTGAAACGAGGAGGAAATTAAACATCCCTGCACATCACAGCCCCCCCATCCCCCCACCTGGCTTCCTCCTCCTGGATATTTTAATATCTTGTAATGAGGGAGAAACTTTGGATGCTCTCGGTGAACACGGAGCCGCCACATCATAGTGACCTAGCCCTTTGTCATGGCCTCTCCAAGTAAGTGACAGCTTCCTGTCCCCCGTCCCTCCCAGACCACCGGGGTGGGTTCCGGCTCAAACTGGAGGAGGATCTGGAGAAGGACCGGCGGCTGGCAGCGGAGATGGAGACGCTGCGGCTGTCGGGTGCCCTCGTCCCGCTGCTTGACGTGCCATTGGACGGCCACGAGGCCAGCTCACCCCAGCCACGCCCCCATCGCTTACAGGGGGTGGAGCTACCGAGCCGAGAGAGCGGCACCTCCCTATCTGCACGTGGGGATGTGGAATCCTCCTGGTCGGGACCCCTCAGCGGGGGCACCCTCCGTGAAAGGGGGAGGTCACCACTCCGGAACGGACACTCGAAAGTGAAGTGGGACAGAGGTCATGGCAATGGTGGGGGTACCAGCAACACCATGTACAGCGTGGTGAGTGCCCCCCGGCGCGGGCGGCCCCCGCTCTCCCAGGTGTTCGGCTCTCAGGTGGATGTGAGCTCCACAGTGCCCCCTGCAGACGGTGTGAACAAGGAGCAGGGCAAAACCCACAACAGCCGAATCCAGGAGTTTGAGCTCACTCCTGTCAGCATCTCCAAGACCAGACAGTCGCTGGGTGAGTACAGCGGTTTGGGTAGGACAGGCCAGACGCAGCCCGATGCGGGATGCTAGCAGGTTAGGTGATCGCGGGACTGCTAGCTATCCTTGGAAAACACGAGAACCTCAGTTTGTCTCTTTCCTCAGGGTTTAGCTCATAATTCCCACAAATAATTCCTTGGAGAAACAGCCCAGGTCACAATTCCTGATAATCGAACAAGCAGGAACGCCAGCATGAAGGTAATATTGGTCAAGTCTGAATAAGGAGATACAGCCTCAAGTGATTCATCCAGCCTTGAATTGGCCAGTGAGTGGTTCTCTGGGCTAAGTCTCTGTGCCTGTGATTGAAAGATCACCGGTTTGAGAAACCCAACCTCGTCAACAACAGCCACATGTCCATGGGGCCCTGAGCAGGGCCCTTAAGCCCCAGTTCCAAGGGCCACATTGGCTGACCCGGCTCTCCGACCTTGAAGAGCATGGTGGGGTAGGCGAAGAGAAGAATTCCAATGCGCGAATAAAGGATTGTTTTTATAAATGGGACTTTTGTGTTGCTTAGTGCATTACTACATCCGAGCAGTAGATGGCGACAGAGCAATCTGAATTACACAGAGAGGATAAGAGGCTTGTGCGGGGGCAGCTACATCTAAACCTGTGTTTTTATAGCAACACAGCAGGCCCATATCAAACTGGCTGCATGCGATAGCCCAGCACACTGATGCAAGGGCTTATGGGAGTTTGAGATATAGTGGTACAGTGAGAGGCGGACGTCATGAGACAGAACGCCCAGCTGAGAAGTTAGCCCATACAGAGCAACATTAAATCCCGACTTTCATAGTTTACCGTTGCTGTACGGACCTCCTTGGACTTCTGTCCGTTCAGGGGATTTTGGAGTAAGTGCATCCGCGCCGGGCACAGCTCACAGTCCATGCCCCCACCCTCTGCTCCGCTGGATGCCCTCATGTCCCAACAATGAGAGTGATGGCCCAAAGTGGGCAAATGCAGTTTCTGGGGGTGGCAGAACTTTGGAGCAGTTCGATTTCACAGCCAGGGGAACAGCAATCAGATGAAGCAGGAAGTGAATTGCTGAAGCTGACACTGAGGCTGACTCTCTGGATGCCTAAATGAGGTTTGAGTGATGGACGTGTCCCTCTGTCACTCCAGACATGCTTACAGTACTCATACTCATTCACACTACTCACACTGATTCCGTATTCATTCATACTACTCATACTCAGTTAGTACTTATTTGTACTCA